CCCCCCCCCCCCCCCCCGTGCTGCGAGCTTCACGTTGGCATCTGCGAGCTTAGCTCCTTCGCGAGAAATGGAAAAGAGATAATGGGAAGGCGGCTGGACTATGGACGACCTCTGCTGATGACGTGGAGAGTGAGCGAGATGACCGCCCCGGACCGTGACGCAGAGAGCTTCCCCGGCGCCTCAAGCTCCCTGTGGAAGCGATTGAATCCATCGGTGATGCGTGCAAACCTTGTTTCTCAAGTCGTGTGTTGCCTACCCTCAGCGGTCCACGGACCAATTCGAAACGAGTCAGTCACAAATGCAGCATCATGCACTCACACGCCCACCAACCAATGGACTAGTCAGCTACCGACTAAGGCACAAAATGGATACACACACGGCACACCGCATCACATCGCTGTCTGTCTGTCTGTCTGTCTGTCTCAGTGTCTCATTGAGCTCACAAATACGATTAATGGACACACGAACACACACACACACACACACGTCAATTCGGTCATCAGCCAGTCATTCATTCATCGGGCGGCTCATTGCTGTTGTTCATGAGTACGCGGAAGACCTTCCGCTGCTGCACACTGATCGGGCCCGTGGCGAGCCTCAGCACCCCTGCCCGGTCATCCCACTCCCACATGCCCTGCGGCGCCCCCTCTGTTGGTTGCTGGTTGGCACGCAGCGACCTCTCATTCAAACCGCCGGCCCCCGCCTTCATGGCATCCAACGAATACACCTGCCCGTCGCCCACCACCAGGTCAACGCCACTGATGTGGAAAGATGGCGGGCTTGACTGCTTGGTCACACTCCTGCCACTCCCACCACCAGCCTGTGCGAGCGTCGGCGGTAAGATTACCTCAATCGAAAGCGGCTGGCTGGTCGGGCGGCCAACAGAAAGGGTCGACACAGAGGGGGCCGTTCGGTTGAGGGCCGCCTCTCTCAGTCTGTCGTTGTCTCGCTGCTGCTCCTCTGTCAGCTGGTGCTGTGTGGCGGTGGGTGACGAGAGGGAAAGCTCCTCTGGCTCGACAACCACCTCGCCCAGCATGTTTGTGGTCGTGTTGCTGCTGGGTGCCATGTTGTCGTGAGTGTCGCCTTTGTTATCGACAGAGAGGGCCGACATGGCCATCTCAGTTTGTGGCCGCACTATGCCGAACCGCTGCCAAAGTTTGGTCTTCCACCTGCACACAAAACAAGACAAACATACACACACGTGTGTGTGTATGTGTGCTTGTCTGTGGTGTTGATGTTTTGTCGTTCGGACGTTTTGTAGACAGGTCGGTGGTTGACGTCATAGTAGAGGACGTCTGTGCCGTCATCGTCGACCATCTCGACAGCCGACCCCGCCCTGCTGCCATACACCCGCACCGACAGCCTCCCCCGGTCATTATTCTCATCAGTATGCCGCCCCGTCATAGCCTCGGTGTCACTTGCCATGGCGTGGCCGAAGACGTCCTTTGTGCGGTCGGTGACGCGCTGCACCGGGATGACCGCCCCGGCCTTGACGAAGGCAGGGAGGGTGTAGACCTTGTCTTCATTGTAGAGGGAGACGTCCCGCAGCCATTGGCCGCCTCGGTAGTGCTTCTTGGGGTTGGCGTAGCTGTGCCACTCGTGTGTGGTGGTGCCGGGGAGGTAGACGTCCATGTGTGTCTGGCCGTGGGTGCCGGCGAAGGCCACCATGATGTCACGACCCACCATCTTCTGATTGCCCATCGTCCGCACATTCATGTCATCGGGATAGTAATACCTGCGCACACACGCACCACACACACAGATGTGCAGACAGAGACCTGCTGCACACACACAGGGACCCTTTCTTTGCCTGCCTGACGTTGTTACCACAATGGCGCGATGACGGGCAGCCCCTCTGTGTAGGCACGGTGCGCCATTGCGTAGTAGTAGGGCACCAGCTCATATCGCTGCCTGATGTTGAACCGATTGCTCTCCACCCAGCCGATCTCAGCGGGCGATATGCGCCACGGACAGTACTCCTGGCCCTTTTTGTACTTGTCGGTGCCAGGGACGCACTTGACGTGGTCATTGAATGTGTGGATCCGGAAGGGGATGTCGAACCAGGCGCTGCTCGCCAGCCACTTTGAGAACATCTCGTCCTCACTCGGCTCGGAGCCCGTCTCGACAGCGGTGTCTCTCGGCCAGACGAAGCGCCAGAATCCGCCTGTGTCGGTGCTGTAGTAGTCGATGCCGACGGTGACCATGTTCATCTGTGACTGGTGGTGCATGGCGAGGACGTCCAGGCGCGAGCCGATGTCGCCGCTCCACATGGAGGCGCCGAACCGATGGATGCCCACGGTGCCTGCGCGGGACATCATGAAGGGCCGCTTGGTGGTGTTGGTGTCGCGGCTGTCACGCACGTAGCCGTCGTAGATGCTCTGCAGCCACAGGAAGTTGTACCTGCACCAAAGCCAGCAACAGAGAGGTAGAGTCACAGACACATGTTGCTCTGTGTGTGTGTGTGTGTGTGTGTGGATGGGTGCTGGTGGTAACATACACACATACATGTTGTGGATGTCGGCGTGTCTGTTGCCGGCCAGCCCCTCCCCCTTGTAACACGCCCTCTCGTTGTAGTCCTCCGGCTCGCCAAGATCCACCTATCGTGCGCATCGCGTCCACCCACACATGAGACGGAGGGAGGGAGGGTGTGCGTGGGGACACTCACTCACCCAGTGTCCCAGCAGCCCCTTGTCGACCAGGTTTGGCTTCCTCCTGTGGTCGTGCACCCACGCAGCCGCCTTGCTGTTGGTCCAGTCTATCATCGCACCGTTACCCCACCACCTACGAGCCAACACATACAGCACAGCACACATCAACGAATGCAACACTCACGTCATGCCACGCCACCCGCCCCACACTCACGCGTCCATCGGGGCGGCCGATTTCCTGGCCCTGGCGGACGCACCGCATTCGTGTGCCAGGTAGCCCTGCTCCCGCATGTCGTCGAATGTGGGCGTGCCGGCAGACACATACGACTCCTCGATGGCGACCACGCCCAGGTGGTCGCGGGCGTATGCGGCGATGCGCTTGGCGGGGTCGGGGAAGGCCTCTGTGTCCCAGTCGAGCATGCCCATGGATGAGTCGCTGCTCCTCTCCGTCACACCGCCGAACCAATACAAGTCTGGAAGCGTCAGCAGCAGCAGCAGGGCAATGACAGTCGATTTCCCTCTGTGGTGTATCTGCTCACCGAGGACGATGCCGTCCATGGGAATGTTGGCCTCGCGGATCGTCTCGATCGTGCCATCGGCCTCATCCCATGACTCGAAACCATACTCACTGATCCACTGCCCACACGCACACAGACACACACGTGATGCTCTGACCACACGTATATTTCGTGTGTGTGCATCAATGTCTGCGTACCAGCCCGAAGACTTTCTTGGGTGGCACTGGCGGCGTGCCCGTCAGGTGCATGAAAGCGGCCCGCACACTGAGGGGGTCATCCCCGAGCAGCACGTAGAAGCGGTGAGGGTTCGATGGGGGGTTGTTGGGCGTCTCGACGGTCCACCACTTGTCCACAAAGTCCCAGTTCCTGATAGACACATACCCACACAGGCGGCGCTGTGCTGTGCTGTGCTGTGCTGTGCTGTGCGGCCGGTTCGGTCCTTGGTGCTTACTGTTTGTATGTGTTGTCGACCAGGAGGCCCAGGAAGGTTCTGTTGGCATCTTGTGGAAGGGCCAGCATGAAGGGGAATTGGAGAACCCCACCCATACCTGACACACACGCCCCGAACCACACACACACACACACATCCATCCATCCATCAGCCGATTGAGCGGCACAGATGTCACCGGCGGATTTCTTGGGGTCGCCGGGGTTGTGTCGCCACGTGCTGCCATACTCGTTCTTCGGAGCGAATCTGCCGAACTTGACCCAGTCGCCATTGATAGACCCAGGCCACTGGAATTCCTGACCAACCCCATACGCATGGCTGAAACCCGTGCTGTCCATCCCCAGCGTCTTCAGCGACCCCTCTCCCGCCCAGCCGTCCATGCAGTAGGTCGTGACGACGCCCTTACCGCGTCGTGAGACCTCCAGGCACCCCTGTGCCCTCCTGACTTTGATGCCCGCCCCCTCGATTGAGTGTTTCTTCTTGTCGATGGCGCAGTCAGGCACCTCGGCGTGGAAGGACGTCTTGTGGACCATCGGTGTGCTCTTGATGGGTGCGTTGACATCCAGCCCCTCCCCCTTGCCGATCTCCACGTGTGCAGTCTGCTCGTCGTAGATGGCCACCACCGCGTAGCCCTTGGTGTTCTTGACACGGAAGAAGAACTTGGCGCGACAGTCCCGCCCTTGCTCAAGTGCGTCGGCGGCCGCCATGCCGACGTGATCTGCGGCGTGGTCGAATTGGAAGAGCGCTGCCTCTCCGTCCTTGGCGCCCTTTGGCAGGGCGAGGCCATCGGTGAGTGGGATGTCCTCCAAGAGAGCGCCTTGCAGCTCCTTCCTCGTCAACCCAAACATGCCCATCTCTGCGGCTTTGAAGGCACCTGCACACACGACCAGAAGGGGAACAGTAAGAGTACGAGCTGCGGGTGGCTGGCTTGCTGACCGCGGCAGGCTGTCCTGTTGACTGTGCCACGATCGAGCCCTTCGAGGTTGTAGAAGGGCAGGTACTCCTGCAGCAGGCACTTGGGCATCCTCACGATAGGCTGATCGTCCTCTGGCCCAGTCAGGGTCTCCCCCTCCTCCTTTTCCTCGTCAATGTCCTCCTCGTCAGCATCGGTGGAGTCATCTGCTGCTGCTGCTGCTGCCGCCATGACGCCCATGCCCTCTTGCAGCTCCTGCATAAACGCCGCGGCGCTGCCGTCGGCCGGCTCTCCGAATACAAAAAGGGCACAATACGACAACAGCAGCGCAAAAAGGAGCATGGTAGTGAAGGCTGGGAAGGAGCAGGGGGGAGGGGTGCTGTGTCGCGCCAAATCGCTTCTTTCTTTCTTGCCGAGGCGCCGAAATAGTGGGAATGGCCCACTATTTTGGCAGGAGGCAGGGCGACATCAGAACGCGTACGTGTTTGGATGGTGGAGGCTGAAGGGCCTGATGTGCGGGAGGGTCACACCTGGCTTAACGACGTGACGCATGAGAAGCTACAGTCGATTGCCAATAACTTTGACATCGAGCATCTGTCGCCGGCCAAGTCGGATGCTCGGCCCAGCTACCCACCCAGGGGAACACTGTGCGGTGCTCAGGACCGCCTTGTGGTGCCTCGGGTGTGCCGTTACGACAGCAAGACGGCCATTTCTCTGAATGTCCTGTTCGTTGTCAACACAGGTACAATGTGTATAGGCCTGCAGGCCTGTCTGCCTGAACGTGTGTGTGTGTGTGTGTGTGTGCAGGTGTGTGGGGATCGTACCTCAGTGAGAAGACCATGCTTAAGGCTCTCAAGGGCGATTTCGAGTGCGGTGCAGGCTCATTCATGCTGGTTCGGATGGAGAACGTTGTCTTTCAGGCCTGGCAGTCACGTTCTTGGGATGGGGGCGCTCCGGCAGCTCGGGTGGTCGCCAATGATCAGCTGGAAGCACGAGTCGTTTGTGCTCGACAAGGCAGACCTGTTCTCACTGCACACGTGACTGAGGTCGGCGAGGCATCGGCATGCAGCGCCAATCGAGTGTGGCGACCGATCGTGCAGGTACTGCGCTGAGGCAGGCCGCACACCCATGTGTGCATTGTAGGCTGATGTGATGATATGTCACTTCATCTATCGCTGTGTGGTGGGTGTGGGTGTGGCTGTGGCTGTGTGTGGGTGTGGTGGGTATGGGGTTGGCTTCCGGGGCTCCAGCGGTGGCTACGGGGGCTCTGCCGATGGTTACGGGGGGCTTCAGTGAGGGTGCCACGTCTGTACGCAGGCGTTCAGATGCGATGCGTGGGCATGGATGTGTTGGCGAGGGTGTCTTGGCGTGACCAGACATACATGTCTTGTGGTGATGATGCCCGGTGGTTGGGTGTGATGCACGTGATGGATGAATCGACGGACGGGTGAATGGGTGATGCATTAATGGACAAGTCATCGATCAATCAACGGCCATGCGCTCAGTGTGCGACGTGGGTGGCTGCGGGTACGAAGGTGAGAGTACACTGATGTATGTACGTTTGCGTGTGAGCCGACCGACCTGCACAAGTTCAATTCAAATATGTTGCTTTCCGTTAGGCTCTCTCACTTAATAAATCCGTGCACATTGGTGTCATGTGTATACCTCTGTCTCTGAACACACCACGTGCAGAAATGGAGCCAGAAGATGCGATACACACACAAACAGGCACACGCCCACCATACAGTCAGCTACTTGTGTGTCTTCCTTGACGTCATTCAGCCGCCCCGCAGAACACACACCAACAAACACACACAATGCACACATCAGGTCCTCTACAACCATGGGTGTGGCTCTCACCTTCATGGTCTACGGTGCCTGGCCGTCGAGGACAATGGGGGCGATGGGGCCGAGGAGAGGCCTCGCCTTGGCGGCCGTCAGGGGGAATCGCTGGGCGAAGGGCGCGTCATTGGCCACACCTGCTGCTGGAACCTCGGTGGTATAGATGATGATGCGGACTGCACGCAGCCATGAGCACAGAATCAGACAACATGACAGCGTAAGGATGTGTCAAGGGTGTGTTGTTCTTCTCGCTGTAACCTTACCATTGAGGCCTGGAGGGACGGCCAAGATAATCCATGCGATGAAAGGATCGTCCGACGATGTCAGCACATGCGACTGCCCACACCCCCCACCGACCAACTCCAATGCCACCACATCCGAGCAGTCGTCAAGGGGCGTGTGAGGCGGTCGAGTCATCATGCGGTCCAGATGACCTCCACGTACACTCCTGATGGACACACACACATCCATGTTTGAAAAGGACAACGAGCGACCTGCCGTCCATTCACTCACCGGTCTACCACCACCGGTGCTGATTGGGAGATGCCGCCCACAACCGCCCTCCGGTGAACCAGCATCAGCTCCTTCAGCATGGAGCTCGCCGATGAGAAAACGCCCCCGTTGTTGGCAGCGACCGTCGTCGTCCAGCCCACATTAGGCTGCCACGTAATGCGGCAGCGGACGGGCGGGTCGTATGGCTTGGCGTGGTGGGTGAAGGGGTGCTGTGAGAAGGGATGGAGGGGGCGGGTGGGGAGGGGGAGGGGCGGGTTGATGACGATGGCAAAGTTCGGCTCGTTGCGGATGGCGCGAATCTCGTTGTTGTTGTGGCGGAACAGCTCGAGTGTGCCGTCTTGCTGGCCAGTGGGGCGGCGGAGGGCCACATGGCGGCCGACGAGCAGCCACTGCGCACAGAAACGGGGCAGCGATGAGTAGTCCTGCATTCAACACATTCAACACATACACACATCCATCAGCTCACCGATTGCCTCTTCTCATGTGTGTCGTGCTTACCGCCTTGGTGGCGTGTGTCTGCAGATCTCCGGCACCCACAGTGACCGGCAACTGACAATAGCCGAGATGCTCAAAGAGTCTGAGCGCGCCCGCCGCCTCCCCCCAGCCGTCCTCGCCTCCCTCCTCCACCACCCACATGGCCTTCATCACATCGCCGTGGCTCAGCTGATCGTCGAACTCGACCACACCGCCCACCCCCGCCCGCTCGATGGCCTTCCGCAGCCGAATACGGCGGATGATGGGCCGCAGGGCGTTTCTGAAGTGGCGGGCTGTCGCCTTGAGTCGGGCGATGCTGGTGAAGTCAGATTGCGCGAGGACGATACTCATCGGCCCGGCGGGAATGTCAGTCACGTGCAATCGCTGAGCCTGACGACACACACAAAGACACACAGGCAGCTGTGTGGGTGGGTGGGTGGGTGGTCTCCCTCTCACCTGAGTGCGGGTGTGTGTTGTGAGTGCGATGGCCGAGTCGATGCTGTCCGCCAGCTGGGCCAGACGGGCCGATTCGTTGGCGAGTTGACGACTGACATTGGCCACCGTCTGACGAATGAATCAAGCACACGAGAGACCATGACACAGAGGCCTTTGTGCTGTCATCGTGTGGCAGTCTGTCCGCACCAGTGATGTGATCGCAGCGGCGTCCATCTGAGTGAGTCGGCCGGTGCAATTGTTGACCTGCACACCACAGCACACACAAATAACACAAAGCAGCCGATGAGCAGTGGATGCACTGAACGTGAGTGTGTTGGTTACCTACCCGCGCCTGATTGGTCTGATAGGCTTGAATCTTTGCCAGCAGCTGCTGCCGCATCGCCGCGGTTGACGTCTGCAGCAGACGTCACATGGCAACCAACACATTGTCAATCAGATACAGCCCCGTCGTGCTCTGCTTGGCTCCTCTTCTCTCACCTGAGCAGCGCTGGCAGCCATCGTGCATTCAAGCCACCAGAGCTATGAATCAAAATGCCGTTTGGGGCTTCAACAGGCTCCAGAAACGCCTAAGGGGGAAGAAATTGCGAGCTTTTGGAGCGGCAAGCTCGCCACTGTTCGGGCGAGTTGTCCCGTTCCCACCCCCCGTCTCCTTCTCTTTGCGTCAACGAATAACCGGATTGCAGAACCGGCGAGAATTCTCGACGCGAGAGTCGGACGGCGGCGAGACGGCGGAGACGGCGTCCCTTTTCTCTGCTCTCTTTTTTCTTCGTCATGAAGTGAGCTCTCTGTCCTTCAACGACGCTCCCTCTTCTCTGCTAAGTTCCTGTTTGCCTTCGATTTGTCATTTGGTAGCAGAGCTGCCCGGCTCGCTGCCCGGCAGGCACTCTGTCGACCCATTCGTCCGCCGCATTCACTCAAGGCCGGTGCGCCATCGGCAAGGGTTCCTAAAGCCCTTCGCGCGTGGTGGCCGTCTTCAGCGCCCAGGGCAGCTGGTCAACGACACCACCCACGGGCGCTCCCATCAGCGGAAGGATGTGACCGAAGGTGTGTGCCTGGCGGATCATATAAAATGTGCTTTTGCACTCTCTCTCTTCCTCTCTGCAGGCCATCTTAAAGTTTCTCTTTGTGTTGATGGGCACCGCCACGCACCGCAGCGGGTCGGCAGCCGCAGGTCCATCACAAATGAGCCAGAGAGACAGCAGCACTTTTTTAAGGATTTCTGTCCAGCGCGAGGAGGACGGATGAGAAGACAGCAACAGGTGCAAAGAGGCGCACAGGGATGATCTGATCTGAATGTGTGGGTGTGTCATCGCAACCATCGAGCTTGTGCCACAATCCCACTCCCACACGAGGAC